GCCGTACGCGGGCCTCTCACTGTTGTGGCCTCTCCCGTTGCGCAGCAGGCTCCGGACGCGCAGGCTCAGCGGCCACGGCTCACGGGCCCAGCCGCTCCGCGGCACGTGGGATCTTCCCGGACCGGGGCACGAACCCGTGTCCCCTGCATCGGCAGGCGGACTTTCAACCACTGCGCCACCAGGGAAGCCCTCAATTTCTATTTTTAAAAGATATCATCCTTGATTCTATGGCTTAGTCCTTCACAGGTGTTAACAGCTTACTAGACAGAAATTTTTTTGTCTTAAAAGTAATTGTTGATTCTGGCTTTACCCAGTCAAGAATTTAACCTTCTCCTTTACAATGTTAATTTCTTATCATTGTATTTATAGTTAAGGTTTAGATTATTAGAAATGATTCTTTTTGCAAAAAAAATGGTGGGAAGAAATGCCTTTGGGCATATGTCTCTATTATTTCTATTTTTCATTATCAAAAGGTGAAATGGGAAGAATTCTTCACCTTTAGTATGAATGACTGGTAGATGAATCAGAGAAGTCTAGATATTGATCCTTAACTGAACAGTAACAGTTCCATCTTAGCAAATCTAATAGCGTTGCCTGTTTTCACATGCACTGATCAAGCCTGCTGTTTATAAAGAGCTTTCTTCTGTCTAGTAATTGTGTGCTTCAATTTCCTTCATCTTGAGAATACCTCGAAGTTTCTTCAATAATTATTCAAAATTCAAAAAGGGAATCCTTTTAAGCCAAACCCACTGTAAATGGAAGTGAAAAGTATCCAAAGCCCACATCCATCATAAATAACTCTAGGGGAAATGAAAGGCATATTATAACTAGTCCTCTAACATAGTATTTTAAATTCCAAATTATGGGTGATTTTCAGGGTTTGTTAAATCCTGATTCAGTTATTTTTTATTAATTTTGAATTAAAGTAAACTGTTGACATTTCTGCATGTCAGTGCTGTGAAGAATTCTGAACTAGTCTTTGTTAGGTGCTTTAGTATGTCAAGAAAGGTACTGTATAACGAAAATCCATCGTATTTTCATACTTCCAAGCAATCAAAAAAAAACATTTAAATATTGCTATCTAAAATACTCAAAATTATATGTGGCGTTATTAGAAAATGACACTCAAAACTACTATTTTGGTAGGACTAAAATGTAGTGGATAAGCCTTCTGTGTAAGGATTTGTGTTTGAGTACAGCAAATTACATTCTCCATTAGCAAGGGTGAATCCAGAACTTCTTTGTTTGCTTGTTTGTTTTTTGAATGCAGAACTTCTAATGTCAGCTATGATAGATGGAATGTACCTATCAAATTTAGAAAACAATTTTCAACTCGTCACCTTTCATATAGTCTAATTGCATAAAGTGACCCCAAGACAGGCTATTATAGTTACCCACAGCATGGTCAAATATTCCTGACCAAGAACTAGTTCACCTTAACAATGGGCACTCATCCACAGCACATGAACATTCACTCAACTCAATGGGTTAGAATATTTTCTGATGGGAAGAAAAGGTGGCTAGTGCAGACACCTGCGTTATGGTCAGTTTCTCAGCCACTGAAATGCCATTACTGAATAGATGATGTGGCCAGATAATGTTATGAATTGCTAACTAATTCCTTGTACCTCGCAGGCTCTCCAATTTGCACATTCTACTTTCACTGCCTCTCAAAGGAGAAGCTACATCAGAACGAGAGCCCAGAAAATCATTTCTGGTCTTGCAAGTTGCAAAAAATTGCCTTTGTAGTCAGAGATTGACAGTTTGAAAATTTTGAGCCACATGAATATTGCCTTTTAAGCTTCAAAAACCAAAACCTGAAGGACACAAAGCACAGTGTTTATGTAAAAAACAGTAGTCATGGATGAAATTCTGATGGATGAGAAATAGCTTCTCTCCTCACTGCAAAATCCAACTCATGAATGGGCTGAGACACCAGTTCCTCTTAAAAGAAGCACTGCCTTGCAACTGAACTCTGGTTCTCTCCTCAAGTAGATTTGAGGGATTTTAGAACATAGGAAGCCTATGCCTCATTTCTAAGGTGGAGCCAGGAATGAGGAGGGCCTTAGAGAAGGTTCCAGTGCCCGGCATGGCACAGGAGCAATAGAGTGGACACGGATGCTTGGCATGTCTAGACATAGATAACTTGACATAGCTTCAGATTTTCTTGTTATTTCCAGAATGGTGCTGAAGGGAAGCCAAGAATCCCAATGCTTTGATCCCTCAGGGTCTTCCATTCCTCAGACACATGGAAGCAGCTGAGAGAGAGAGAGAGAGAGAACTCACCTAGGGAGAGCTCAGAATCAGGACCAGAAGGACAAAGACCCAATATACCTGGGCTGTACACTTCTAGGTCAGAGATAGTCTCGGAGACAGCAAGCACAACAAGGGACAACCCAGGGCCAGACGCTCCCTCCTTCAGTGTCTTGGTATCCTGTAAACTCCACTCACAATTTATTATAGATTCACTTCTAGGAAGATCTCTGTATTTGCTGAGGTTGTTTCTTCCACTCGGCGGAAGGCATGTTCAAATAGAAAATAAAGTTGACTATAGCACAAGTAGTCATATTTCTCGTAAAAATAAAGTTGACTATAGCACAAGTAGTCATATTTCTCGTACACTTGATTTCACAGCCAAAGATTCATACCTGCAGTCAGGGATGGATCCAGGTTTGGTGGAACCTGAAACTTCAGTAATTTAGGGGACTCTTCTTAAGAAAAAGAATATATATACAATGAAATCTTAGCCATAAAAAGGATGAAATATTGCCATTTGTAGCAACATTGATGGATCTAGAGAATATCATACTTAAGTGAAGCAAGTCAGACAGAGAAAGATAAATGTTATATGATATCACTTATATGTGAAATCTAAAAAATAATACTAATGAATCTACCTACAAAACAGAAACAGACTCACAGATACAGAAAACAAACTTATGGTTACTAAGGGGGAATAAATTAGGAGTATGGGATTAACAGATGCACGCTACTATAAATAATATAGATAGGCAACAAGGATTTACAGGGAACAATATTCAAAAAGAGAGAAGAAAGAAAAAGAACTAAAATTCTGCATAGAAAATTAAGTATAGGGCCTTGAAAGGGTTCCATGCAAGTGGGAGAACGTGAAGCTTACATCTTATGGGCTTCAGTTAAATCCACTGTGGCTATTACAGTAAACTTATTCAAGCACTGTTTGTTGTATCTTCCCCATCTAGTGTTTACCATCATGCAGTCCCTTAATAAATCTTTGTTCATAATGAATTAATGCATTGTTCTACCTCATATGCAGAAAGCAGTTTCTGAGCAGGGAGAATGACAGTGCTGTAAGGACCTTAGCAGGAAATCCAGGCTGCAGTTGTAGCCTCGGCCTCTC